AAGGAAAAAGCAAGTAAAAATTGCAGAAAATGTCATTTATTCTACATCTACATCATGTAAAAAGAAAGAGAAAGACTTTAGAGTACTGTTAGTAATGGATGAGTACACTCTGCATGCTTCAAACGTTTTAAATTAAGTTTTATTGTGAGTGTTTGGATTACACGTTCTCAGGTGTAATTCAGGATGCTTTTATTTGTGTCTGGCACCTTAACAATAGCATATGAAATTTTTTCTTGGATCCCATATGATAGCCCTCACAAAGAGCTTTAAAATGAGCTCAAACTTGTTTATGAAATGTTTCATGGTAACAAGTTGTTAAGAAAAAATGCTCAATACCATCCCCTGTTACCCCATTGGACAGTAACTTAACACCACACATTATCACATAAAATAACATAACTAAGCACCTAACCCAACACATTGTAGCACAACATACCATAACACAACAAAACATAACACAATAATTAAAACATAACACATGATATAACGCTATACATCATAACATAACATAGAACAACACAAATTGTGTTGAACAACACATAACACAACTCAACATATCATAACAGAACACATTACAACTTATCCTAATAAAACACATTACAAGACATCATAACTCAAATTAACACATTATAGCACATCATAATGTAACACCACATATTATTACACAACCTAACATAACACAACACATTGAAATGCAACATAACACATGATAATATAACCAGATGCATTATAACACAACTTGATATATCGGATCACATTATACCTTAATGTAATAGAATACATCCTACCATAACAAAACAAATTATAACACAGCCTAACACAGGACAACAGAAGATAATATAATGTAACATATTATGTTACATTACAATATGTTGGTTTATATTATGATGTGTTATGTTGTTATACTGTGCCATCTTATGATGTGTTATGATTTTTTATGTTATGAGTGTTATAATGTGTTGTGTAGTAACATGTATTATAATAGTTTATATGTTGTGCTATGTTATGATGTGTTACAATGTGTTTGTTATGTTATGCTGTGTCACAATGTCTTGTGCTATGTTATGCCATGTCATAATTTTTTGTTGCGTCATATTGTGTGATATGTTGAGTTATGTTATATTGTGTTACAATGCTGTGTTATTTATTTTATGCTAAAATTTTGTATTATTATGTGTTATGTTATGATGGGTTGTGTAATGTTGTCATGCATGGTGTTATAATGGATTACAGTGTGTTGTGTTATGTTCTGTTATATTGTTATATAATGTGTTTTGTTATGTTATTTTGTATTACAATGTGTTGAATAATGTATAATATAACATTACATATTGTAACACAAGATAACAACCAGACCTCGCACTATAAACATGACATAATGCAACAAAACACATTATAATTCATTAAGATGCATTTGAACAGATTTGAACGCATTAGAACATGCTAGGGCGCATTAGAACACATTAGAACAAATTAGAAAATATTAGAGCATATTTTAACTTACTACACCGCCCTAGAACGCAACAGAAACTATTAGAATGCATTAGACCACAATAAAACCATTAGAATTCATTAAAACACATAAGAATGCACATATAAAATCAGGGTTCATATCATGATGGACTACCGTCAACCGCGGCTACTCGGGACTGTTTTGAGCGTTTTTTTGTTAATAACTGTTGATAACTTTTTACGATGAAACATTTCATAAACAAGTTTAGGCTCATTTTTTTTATAGCTTTTTGCGAGGGCTATCGAATGGCATTGTCAAAAAATTCCATATGCTATTTGTAAGGTGCCAGAAGCAAAAAAAAGTGTCCCAGAGTAGCCCCATTGAATGGGGCTACTTGGGACACTTGGAATAAAACTTCATTTTAAAACATTTGAAGCATGCAGAGCGTACTCATCCATTACTAACAGTACTCTAAAGTCATCCTCTTTCATTGTAGATGATGTAGAGGTAGAATAAATGACATTTTCTGTGATTTTTACTTGTTTTTCCTTTATTGATATGATATTACCATATACATTAATTACCGTATTATTGATGCGATATTACCGTATCCATGAACATGCCATTGAGCATTTACAACAACCTTGTCCACTGCAAGCTTCATATCAGCAGCCATATAGTATTTTTTCTGTATCTGTAAGCTTACAGGACGGCTTGTAATTTCACACCATTTTAATTACGTTAAGTGAATTTACTATAAAGAAAAAAGATCGTGAAAAACATATCTGAAACAGAAAGGAATGTTTTAGTGACAACCATCATATGTTTTGGAGAAATAAATCATAGTTTAGGTCAATTACTTTTCATTCTATGATGCCTGGTGCACAATTCTATATGTATGACATTCCATGCACAATTTTGTGATGCCCGATGATGCACTAATTTTTTGATAAGTGAAAGTTTTTTGCTGAGCAAGGTAAATGTAATAAATATTCTTTGTTTTTAATCAATTTTTTTCTTAACTGGAGCCTTTGCTATCTGATGTTCTACTGTAGATGCGTTTTTGGGGGTGTCCCGAATAGCCCCGCCGTGTGGAAATGGCCGCCATTTTTTTTTTTTTTTTGAATGAGATAGGACAATTCCGTCAATTACATTTTCAAGCCAACACCTGGGTGCATCTTTTATGTAAGTAAAATTTTTTAATATGGCAAATATTTTTTTTGCTACAGACCTTAGCAGAAGTAACTTTTCAAAATAGCATTTTTCACCATTTTTTTCAGGAATTTTTCAAAGCTAGTAAATGTAGTACATATTTTTCAACTTCCTTTATACTACATAGAAAAAATGTTGGCGTTTACACCACTATATTTAGTTTTGCAATATTCCAATTAGTTTTGCCACTATAACAGTTTTACGCCGTGTCGGAGGACTGTCCCGAGTAGCCCCTCCAGTCCCAAGTAGCCCCAGTTGATGGTATTAGTGTTTGCTGAATGCTAAATTCAGTAAACTGCTACAACTGAAGTGACTGTGTGTTGTTATTGACTTGAGAGCACAGGTTATGGTTTAGTATTGCCTATTTAGTGTAGTCTATGTCACAGTGGGGAAACAAGGAATTTTTGAGACACAGTTCACGTTTAATTGCCTGATCTAGTTCAAAATTTTGTTGAATATCCTATGGGAGTAAATGTCATTAGTACAATGCTGCTACAGAAAGGTCAATAAAAACTCTCTCTGTTTGCAACCAACCATTCAATACTTTAAGAGTGGATACATATTCATTCATAACCCTTCTTAAATTCCACACTGTAATGAAATTATTAGGCCTTACATCCAATAAATCATGCATGGCCTTTTAGTGTGAGATACCTGTATCTTTTCAAAATTTCAAGCCCTCTTGACATCATATTGATTTCATTATATCAATATGAAATTGCAGGTATTATCAAAATTACTAGATCAACTCTACATTATTATTAGGCCCTACATTCAATAAGTCATGCATGGCTTTTTAGTCTGAGATACCTGTATCTTTTCAAAATTTCAAGCCCTCTTGACATCATATTGATTTCATTATATCAATATGAAATTGCAGGTATTATCAAAATTGCTAGACCAACACTACATTCATTAGTTTCTGTCATCTCAATCAACGGTGAACCTCCATACATAGTGGAAGTCTATGAAGAGAGGTACTTATGTCGGTCCATCGCCGTGCGGCGGTCCGCGGTCTTAACCCTTCGCAAGGCCCCATGCCCTTGGCCCTTGGGAGACTGTGCCTAAGCAGAATAATATATTATTATTATCATAGTAAATATACCAAGTAATAAAGTAGTTCCTTGAATGGCCACTGCTGGCGCTAGGATCTGGATGTTGGTGCGCCATGTTTGTTTAGAATTCAAACAATTTGATATCTTACTGCACCACAAGTTAATATATTTAAATAATTAATAATGGAAAATATGTTGCTGGAACACTTTAAGAAACTGTGCCTAAACAGAATACAATATTATTATATAATTAGTCAAGATACTAAGTAATGAATATAGTTCATTTGCCTGCCGCTGCTAGCGCTGGCATCAGTAAGTGAACCTTCTATGAATAATTTTAATTCAACATGGAATTATGGAGATGCAACTTCTAATCTTCTATGATTAATTTGAATCATAAACATTTATGTAATACAAGAAATTAGCAATCAATAATTCAAGGTTATTTTGTAAGTTTTGTACCAACGGAAGACTATGTCTACATTAAATACGTATTGGCAACTTAAGCTAAAAAAAATGCACTGTAACTGTAATCAGCTGTGAGAGAAGATGCCAGAAAGCGCGATGGATTCAATTTAGTCGAATTTGATTTGAAATTGGTCTCAGTTCTTTCAGTGTAAAACCTATTAAAATTTTACATTTCTGTGTGGATTTTGATGCTGTTAGCATTGAAATACTTGACAGTATCTCTGATGCAAGAAATACTGGCTAAATACATTTTAATTTAGAAATTAACGTCAATCGAAAATTCGAAATTGCTGCTGATCAGGGCTATGTTGGTTTTTGCGAACCGATTGTTGCATCCAGTCGCTTATATTGAAAATAAAATGATTTAAGCAAGTATTTCTTGCATCAGAGATAATTCAAAGTTTGCTAATGTTAACAGCATGATAATACATGCAGAAACGTACATTTTTTTATAGATATTAAAAATTTAGGCTCTATGACTTGTATACTATGTCTATTACAGTCTATAGGATTTTGAATCGATGCATGCATTCAAATTCAAATTAGGTCCACCCACGCCCCACGGCCAGTGTAGCTGTCAGCTGACTCAGCTCACCTTTCTTCAGAAGTGTGAAAGCTTTTGCCAGTGAAGGTGTGTTTTACGATCGGTCCGTAAAGAAGCGTTGATCAGTTCAAAATGACATAAGAACAGGTTCTTTTGAATAACCTATGGATTGGCACCATGCCTCCATAGTCTATATCAAACATTTCCCACTGGTCATATTGATGGTTAATGACCATTTATGTAGAAGGGTTATTAGCTGTCAAGAGGAGTATGTTTTGCTATCAATGAGCTTATAATTTTGTACTTTTTTCAGATAGTGAATAATATTAAATAGAATCATTATGTCAACTTTGGAACAAGATCCCACCTTACAGGATGATGATGTAAGTTTTTAGCTTAAGCCATGTTATTATGAGACCCTATATATAAATTATATACCTACAAGTGTTAGTATTAGATGGCAGAATTAGCTTTTTTAAACAAGTCATTAACATGGAGTTTTAACTATGGTCATAAACTACCAGTTTAAATGATACCCAAGTGTATATATATTTGTATATAATAATAATGATGTAGGTATTATTCTGAAGCATTAATTTGAAATTGAATTGAATATGTTTTGATGTTTCAGAAATTTTTTAATTTCTGGAGTAGCTTCATGTTGAATGATATTTGCTAGTCATGGGAACTGTTTCCTACTTTCCAAAGAAAGTTTGGGTTTGACTTCTGAGATATAGTGAAAGCTTCCGCATACAACAAATTATTCAGGCTAATTAACTTTCAGTAATTGAAATAATTTTAGTTAGGTTCAGTTTAAAAAATGAATGTCAATCTGGTTGTAGACTGAAAATGTACCGTACCTATTTTACAGGGCAGGAAATAACTGGGTGTATGCACCAGTTTATTTTGGAGATTTTTTGTGCATTTAATTGCATTTTAAAAGTTTTGTGGTCCTCTAAGTTATAGCTGAAGTAGAGAAGAATAGCATTAACATATATATAAAAGACAGTTTTTAATTTTACTTCTTGTTTAATACCTCCTATTTCAATGCATAGTTTCTGGCTAAAGTGACTCTAAATATCAGAGCACCTATATTCATTTTTTGTCTCTCAGCCAGCCATGAGAGATGTCCTGACCGCATCGTCTGAGGATGTCTCATCCCGTACAAGGCTTCTGGAAAATGAAATCAGGATCATGCGACTTGAAGTCACTCGGATAACCCATGAGATTCACACACAAAAGGAGAAAATAAAAGAGAATGCAGAGAAAATAAAAGTTAACAAAACTTTACCGTACTTGGTGTCCAATGTTATAGAGGTAGGTATATGTATATATTGGATGAGGTGTGCTTTACAGGTGTAAATGAGAAATATTCAATGAGCTGTAATTGTGGCATGTGCAATGAGATACACTTGAAAAATGTATCTCATTCAAGATAAATGTATATGTATCAGTATAGATCCAAGATATATGTATATACCCTAGTATATTGAGTCATGCATTGGATGAACTAGTATAAAAATAGATATAGGTATTTGTCCTTTAATTTTTCTTGAGGAATAGACTGGATAATTAAGTTTCTTTGTTTAATGCAGAATTTCTGTTCACAATAGGTTTTTAGGCATTAATGAACAAATTCTTGGTTCCATTCAACCCAGAGCTCAACTCTGTACATTAATGTCAAGTTGAAATGTAGTGAGTTTGTAGAGGCACAGCAATATATAAGTAATACAGTTATGGCTGGAGCTCAGTGTTATAATTATGTAATACACTTGTTTCCAAACTTCAGTCAGTTGTACACAAATTTTTTATGAAGACTTTTAAATCATGAACTCTGAAGGGAACTTTGCCCTAACCTTGCAAGTGTTCAGTTGAATAGGCATGGTAAAACAACATTTTTTACTGAAATTTTAGAAGCAAATCTTAATGTCGCACCTCCTTTACTTCAAAAATTTGTCATTGGGCAAGTCAAATCCTCAAAATGAACATTTTTTGATAGAATAGAAATTAAAATATACAATGCCCAACATAGAAAGATGCGCATGGTGTGGGTATGAGAACTGCAACAAAGTATTGCATTCTCACATAACAGTGGAGCTCAATTCAAAGCTGAAAGCTTGTGAAAGTTGATTAAGAAGCTGCTGCAAAACCATAACCAATGTATGTGGCAAGTCAATCTTTCTGCTCTATTCTTATCATTCAAAGGACTTTTAGTCAGCATGATTTTGTCATTAACCCCAGAATTGGCACTTGTTTTGGTCTAAAATTGTTTGCCCCCAACTCATTATTTTATGGAAAATTTCTGTTTTATTTTTTTAAATGCCTTAAATTTAGCAACCTAAGAGTTGTGTGCCTGTGGCACCTTAGTTTTGTGACACAGAGAAGCTGGCAACTGATTTTCAGCTGGACTTGTCAATGCCACAAGCTTAACATGGAGTCTTGTCTGCAGTGACAATGTTGCCCTTTATGAAGCATCAAGAAATTTGTTTAATCATTAAAATAGCCATCTCTACTATTGATTACACAGCATGACTTGTTCTTTTTTCTCTATTGACTGCTAGTTGAATTGCTTTATATTTCAAGTAAGGTGTTTTGGAATGTGCAAGAATTTTTTAATGGATGAGAACTTTTTCTTTAGATATTGGATGTTGATCCCACTGAGTATGGCGAGGAAGATGGTGCCAATGTGGACCTGGACTCGCAACGTAAGGGCAAGTGTGCAGTCATTAAGACGTCTACACGACAAACTTATTTCCTGCCGGTCATTGGCCTGGTGGACGCTGAGCAGCTGAAGCCTGGTGATCTGGTGGGAGTTAATAAAGATTCATACCTCATCTTGGAGCCCCTGCCTGCTGAATATGACTCCAGGTAACTTGTGCTCTTTTAAAGTCAGTTATGATGTGCACATGGACAGTTGTATTTTATTTGTTACTGCTTTGGAATTGAGTTATTTATTTGATGATTGTTTGCTCCATTTTGAAAATCAATTGTGGAGTAAAATATTCCATTATTATTGCAATTAGTTTTATTCTTTTGAGTTATTTTCCAAATTTCTGAGTCTAAATTTATAAGCTTGCCATTTTAGCTTAGTTGCTAGTTTAGAACATTACCAATTTTGATATTATTATTCCAAACCAGTAGCCCACTTATAAGGTAATTGGTTAGTTATCTCATTTTTTTATCATTCAAGCAGAGTAAGGGAAATTATGTGCTTGTGATAGGTAAGAATCTTGGGTGCACATGTGAAAACAAGCTCATTATATGTATATATATCAGACACAGAAATGTAATGCATGATGTGATCTACCTTAGTCCAGTAATGCCCACAGAGATTGAGAAATGAGTATTTTAACCCTTTACGCCCTGAATTTCTGGGATGAAAATCGTAAAATTCACTTTTTCGGTTTTAAGTCTCACTTCAAAGCTGATATTCTGACCTATCCAACGGTACCAAAATCGTCTCTGTACGTTGATTTATGCCTTGACGACAGTTCGTGAAAGGGTTAGGGGTGGGGGAGTTCTTTAACATTTAATATGGGCGAAAATTACTGGTATTATAGTTTTGAAAATATTTTGAAAAAAGGGGAGGGGAAATTCAAAAGGGGGGGGGGAGAAACCAATTTTTTTCGAAAAATGCCCACCCCACCCACAAAAATTAGAATTTTGAAAAACAGCAAGGACCAATCGATAGATATGGTCCTTGCGCATCGAATGATATGCGTCTCGATGTTGTAGCTCAAAAATCATAGGAGGTGATAGATTTCTACAGTACCCCCATTTTGTCAGTTTTCTAAGAATTTCACGTTTCCTTTCAATTTTTTGGAAAAATTCACACGAACAAAAATGTCTTAGATTTATCTTTTACATATGTGTACCAAGTTTCAAAGTTATCTGTCTGTAATTAACTGAAATAGAATTTCCATAAGAAATTGGACATTGCCATTGGAAATTGGAAATTTTATTTCGGTTACTTACCAACAGATAACTTTGAAACTTGGTACACATGTGTAAAAAATAAATCTAAGACTTTTTTTATTCATGTGAATTTTTCGAAAAAATGACAGAAAACGTGAAATTGTTGGAAAACCGATGTTTTTTTCTGTGTGACGAATTCGTCACGCCAGGGCGTAAAGGGTTAATTTCTGCTCGCAATGAACCCTGCTGTGAAAATTCCAACCACCTTTCTCCTATTATTATAGGTACTCTATAAAACAAAACATATATCTGTATAAAATTGCTTTCAACATAATGTAGTCAAAATATTTTTAAATGAATTTGCAACTGCCTCATGGCTCAGCAAATAAAGAAATTATGTTAAAAGCAAGGTGCTAAATACGAGTGATGATGTTTGCAGAGTGAAGGCAATGGAGGTGGACGAGCGTCCCACGGAGCAGTACAGCGACATTGGGGGGCTGGACAAGCAGATCCAGGAGCTCATCGAGGCCGTCGTGCTGCCTGTCACTCACAAGGAGAGATTTGAGAACCTGGGTCAGTTGGGGGCAGTAATTTGAGAACCTGGGTCAGTTGAGTGCAGTAGTTCAAGAACCTGGGTCAGTTGAGGGCAGTAATTTGAGAACCTAGGGCAGTTGAGGGCAATAGTTTGAGAACCTGTGTCATTTGAGGGCAATAGTTTGAGAACATGGGTCAGTTGAGGGCAGTAATTTGAGAACCTAGGGCAGTTGAGGGCAATAGTTTGAGAACCTGTGTCAGTTGAGGGCAATAGTTTGAGAACCTGGGTCAGTTGAGTGCAGTAGTTTGAGAACCTGGGTCAGTTGAGTGCAGTAGTTTGAGAACTTGGGTCAGTTGAGTGCAGTAGTTTGAGAACCTGGTTCAGTTGAGTGCAGTAGTTTGAGAACCTGGGTCAGTTGAGTGCAGTAGTTTGAGAACCTGGGTCAGTTGAGTGCAGTAGTTTGAGAACCCGGGTCAGTTGAGTGCAGTAGTTTGAGAATCTGGGTCAGTGTAGTCCTCAGTTTGTTTCAGGAACTCTAGCTTGATACCCTTTGATACTACTAGCACAAGTGCCAGCCAACATGATGCTGCACACCAGCCTTACTTACGATTTATAGTCAAATAGCAAACCTCTCAAAACTGAGCTCTTAACGTCACATGTTTATGCGTGCGACGTGGTGGTGCAGTGGTGAGAGACTCAGTCTCTCGCACCCAGCTCCCGGGTTTGAGTCCCACTGAGGACAAGTTCTACCGGGAAGCTCAGCTCATGGTCAACTCAGCCATTCATCCAACTCTGGTTGATAAATGAGTACCTGGCTTGTCCAGGGTGTTGTGTAATGCAATAAAATGGTTCTGGCGGGTCAACGAGCCAGTGATGGTCATAGAACTACCAGTGGCATTAAGTGCCTGGAAAAACTGACTTATAACCCACTCTCCCTAGTCGCCACTACCAGGATGGGCAATTACAACACATGCATGCGACGTACCAACCACTAATGTTTAGGTTTGAATATCGTTTGTCGCTGCTTGAAATTTAATATAAGCCGCAGTTCATTATTCCTGATAAAATCATTGTATTTGCTTTGCAGGCATTCAGCCGCCCAAAGGCGTCTTGTTGTACGGAGCGCCGGGGACGGGCAAGACTCTTCTGGCGCGCGCCTGCGCCGCGCAGACCAAGTCCACATTCCTGAAGCTGGCGGGGCCACAACTCGTGCAGATGTTCATTGGTGACGGCGCCAAGCTCGTGCGCGACGCCTTCGCACTTGCCAAGGAGAAAGCGCCTGCCATCATCTTCATTGATGAGCTCGACGCCATTGGTGGGTACAGCCTTGAGGTGAAGGAAGGCGCCTGCCATCATCTTCATTGATGAGCTCGACGCCATTGGTGGGTACAGTCTTGATGTGAAGGAAGGCGCCTGCCATCATCTTTATTGATGAGCTCGACGCCATTGGTGGGTACAGTCATGGGGTGAAGGAAGGCGCCTGCCATCATCTTCATTGATGAGCTCGACGCCATTGGTGGGTACAGTCTTGAGGTGAAGGAAGGCGCCTGCCATCATGCTCGACGCCATTGGTGGGTACAGTCTTGAGGTAGGAGCAGGAAAGCAGAACAAGATAAGTTAACTTTAATTTTTTAGCTAATTACATCAAGCTACAGTAATTTTTATCATATTATCGGAATTAGTTGACTAATGAAGGGAGGGTTATCTATGAGAGTTTGTAGTAACTATGTATGTACGTGTCATGTTATTAATGTAAAATAGCAAGTTCTTAATCTTCGCTGTAAGGCCTCTGTTCTCGCCTTAGATTTGATTTATCTTTGTGGTTTTCATTTTGTTTCAATTATTTTGTATTTTTTCGGTTGTTTATTTTCTTGTAAGCTTGGAATTAACAGTACCTACTTCTCTGTTCTCTGCAATTCCATGCAAAGAGAAGAAAAATACGATAATTGGAACTTGCAGTATTAAAATATTTGAATGTTTTTGTTATTATCGAAAATATTTTCCACTGCACTCATCTCTCTGATGATTAACAGCACAGGCAGAAATTTGACGATGTTCCGAATTTTGTACAAAGAAAACTATGATTTTATACTTGGGTCAGTTTTTTTTCATTATGTGCCAAGATTCGGTCACCAGATTCACTGAGGGAATATCTCCATCTGATTATTTACAAAATTATTTGTTATATATACTAGTCATGTTACTTCTCTCGTTTATTCATTGACTGCCTGATACGCCTGATGTTATTTCTACACATCGTCGCAATGCTGTCACCATGTAATGGGAACATGGCATGAATCTTGAGGTCAAGAAACGTCAAGATTCTCTTCATGGTTTAGGTCCTGTGTTATATACCTATGTCCTATTTTGATATCTGTATCATTTTTTTCTTTCATCCTCTATTTGCCATGATGAATTTTCTTCAGATTGCCGAGAGCCCTAAAGTTACGAAACGCAAAGTATTTACTAAATTTCAACTGGCATGTATATTTCAGGCACAAAGCGCTTTGATAGCGAGAAGGCGGGTGATCGCGAGGTGCAGCGAACGATGCTGGAGCTGCTCAACCAACTTGATGGCTTCTCCTCCACTTCTGATATTAAAGTGAGCCTGGAACTCTGGTTTGTGATGGAATGACCGCGCTTCCGGCTTACCTTACCAGGCGTCTTTCTCTCTAATGACGGGGCCTCTAGTTACCAGGCGTCTTTTTCTCCAACGACAGGGCCTCTAGTTACCGGGCGTCTTTTTCTAGGCGTCTTTTTCTCTAATGACAGGGCCTCTAGTTACCGGGCGTCTTTTTCTCTAATGACAGGCCTCTAGTTACCAGGCTTCTTTTTCTCTAATGACGGGGCCTCTAGTTACCAGGCAATACAGGTAAGGACAGCAGTAATGATGGTTATTCAGCAGTGATGATGGTTATTTTATCATTAGAAAATGGGTTCATTTATATTGCGCTTGAAACATCGCAAGGAAAGTTCCAACATTTGATACGTCTTCACACATATCTATACATCAATGTTCCATCTTCATTGAATGGGAAGAGCATGTTTGCTATTGATGCGGTGAAATTAACCACTAAAGAGGATAGTATGTAGTATAGAGGAGGATAGTAGTACGTTATGATGACACTAGTAGTCATCACAACATAATAAAACGTAATAGAATTTCATAGTAACCAAACAATTTTGTCCAGAGTGAATCTCCTAATATTCGCGTCAGCAGAGCTCACTGATCATCAAAACACCTTCTTTGATAAGTTTCTTATTACAAAATTGATGAAATTACCTACATATTCCTCCCACTAATTTATTGTCTGTATGTATATATTATTAAGATACAAGTTGTTCGGTGTAACTGGTGATAATAATATTCTGAGTAACTACCGTAGGTACGTCGAAGTATCCACTGGTCTCTTATGCAAGCAATGTTAATGAGTATCCAGGAATGTCATTATTACTTTTTTCCATCACAAATATATCACATAGGTATTTTGTCGCATGAAAACTTCGTGCATTGGCAATTAATGTTTGCACTGATATTTTCGAAGTTGCTAATCTATTATGTTTCATCATACTGCAACGGTAATTAATTCTTGCAAAGATATTGTGGAAGTTAATAATCGATTATTTTGCATCATAATGCATCGTTAACTAATGCTTGCAGGTGATAGCAGCGACCAACCGCGTAGACATCCTGGACCCCGCTCTGCTGCGGTCCGGTCGGCTGGACCGCAAGATCGAATTCCCGCACCCCAACGAAGAGGCCCGGGCCCGCATCATGCAGATACACTCGCGCAAGATGAACATCTCTTCTTGTGTCAACTTCGACGAGCTCGCCAGGTCTACGGACGACTTCAACGGCGCCCAGTGCAAGGCCGTCTGTGTTGAGGCCGTGAGTTCTGGAACAGTGGCGTGATGGTTGTGGCATGTTGGTTGTGGCATGATGGGTGTGGCGTGATGTCTGTGACGTGATGGTTGTGGCGTGATGGTTGTGGCATGATGGTTGTGGCGTGATGGTTGTGGCGTGATGGTTGTGGCGTGATGGTTGTGGCATGATGGTTGTGGCATGATGGAGATGGTTGTGGCGTGATGGTTGTGGCGTGAGGGTTGTGGCATGATGGTTGTGGCACGATGGTTGTGGCACGATGGTTGTGGCGTGATGGGTGTGGCATGATGGTTGTGGCATGATGGTTGTGGCATGATGGTTGTGGCGTGATGGGTGTAGCATGATGGGTGTGGCATGATGGTGTGGCATGATGGTTGTGGCGTGATGATTGTAGCATGATGGTTGTGGCGTGATGGTTGTGGCATGATGTCTGTGACGCGATGGTTGTTGCGTGATGGTTGGGGCATGACAGTCGTGGCATGACAGTCGTGGCCCGACAGTCGTGGCTTGACAGTCGTGGCCCGACAGTCGTGTGGCATCATGGCATGATTGATGTGGCATGACAGTCATGGCCTGTAGTGAGGCAAAACTTTTCAAGTGCTTTAACTCTTTCTTTGATCGCTTCAAATATTTCAGAGACTGCTTACAAATCGATATTTTATTAATCATTTTTATAACATAATCTCTAAGTGTTGCTCGTGTGCTTCGAGTAGAGATCGATAGAGCATATTAAATCATTTTTAATATTTCTTCTTGAAAATAAAGGTTTATGTTGCTGTATTCTGTAGCTCACGTGGATGACATTTTTAATTCACGTTCTTTGAACTTATAATTTCATAACGTTGAGACTTGTTCCTAAGTTCACAGAGGCTTGAACGCTTGTGCGGTAATAAACTCTGTACCTGATCCCCATACAACATTATTAACCTGCACCTGCCCGCCTGCTTCCATGGACATTTATATCCTGTACCTCTACTTGACCACCTTATTCCTGATATAACCTACCCCTGCCCGCCTGCTTCCATGGACAGTTATATCCTGTACCTCTACTTGACCACCCTATTCCTGATATAACCTGCACCTTCCCGCCTGCTTCCATGGACATTTATATCCTGTACCTCTACTTGACCACCCTATTCCTGATATAACCTGCACCTTCCCGCCTGCTTCCATGGACAGTTATATCCTGTACCTCTACTTGTGTTCTTATTCCTGATATAACCTGCACCTTCCCAACTGGTCCTAAGGACTTTTGTAACCTGCACCTGCTCTCTCCCCCAGGGCATGATCGCACTCAGACGCCAGGCCCGCACGGTCACACACGAGGACTTCATGGACGCCATCATGGAGGTGCAGGCCAAGAAGAAGACCAACTTATATTACTACGCTTAACATCAACTTATATTACTATTCTTAAGATCTCCGCTCACCACGTCCAGGAATCTATTTAATACGAATCAAAGCTTCATTTTTACCCCAGGATAAATTAGAAATTCATTAAGCGATCTAATTGAAATAGCGGTGAAGATCATTGAACGAATTTGACTGTTCCTCTCATCATTGTAAGTTGATGTTATTTTCCCCAACCCAAAACTTATGGTCAAAAGGCATTTCTCGTAAACAACATTGATTTTGATGATTACTTTTTAGTCATGAATTCTTGTTACGATGTTACGTTCCTGGGATGACGATGCGTATGCAGCGCCTAATTTATATCAAAATAAACGCAATATGCCTCACTTGTCTTTTCTTATGCCTGTTATCGCTATACGTGTGGTGTCGAGAGCTGGAGGCAGGTTGGTTTTGTGCTCGCCTGGCCTTTAATACTACAATTGATACTCTATGTTCTGACTCTGGTTAGCTGCAAATAGCAGAACCGATTAGTATTGCAGCGCCCACTGGCTGGAAGTAGGCTGTTTTTGGATATGTCCAAAGTTTATGACATAATTTTGTATGTATATTTTTTGCACAATTTATTGTTTCTGGCACTGAATTATGTTCACTTATGAAGCATTCCAACTTATTTTTATATGTGAGTTATCTTCCATTATTGTCGTGCTATCACAACGAAGGCTTGTGTTAGGGATGCGATGCTCTAGTATAAGCTAATGAAGCCATGCATGTAACTTTACTTAGCTAATGAAGCCATGCATGTAACTTTACTTTGCTAATGAAGCCATGCATGTAACTTTACTTAGCTAATGAAGCCATGCATTCAACTTTACTTAGCTAATCAAGCCATGCATGTAACCTAACCCGCCGGGGCATCTGTGGCTTCCTGAGCCGCTGAGCCAAGAGCTGCACCAGCGTTGCTGAGGTGCTCGTGGTTGGTGGCACGGAGGGCAAGACTCGCCCTGCTAAACATGAGCTCACAAACCGGGAACGCTGGTGCAGGTCTTAGCAGGCTGAAGTTTCAGCTGCTGTTCGGGAAGTTGGACGCTCCCGCGGGATACCCCAGTCCATCAAGTTTCTTTCAGCAATATTATTTTTCAGTTAAAGTTTTCTTTCGATTAGCTAGGCTTGCTAGGATGTCTGAAGCATTGCTATCTACTAGTAGAATGGAGCAACGTTTTCACTATGCAGCATGTAGTCTTTGCAGGGAAGTCAAGTTTGAGTTACAATTCTCCTTCCCGGTCTCTTATGTCAACTTCAGTATTCCATGAGAAATTAACTCATAATTAGAATGTACAGCAAGTCTTTCTATACACGGGCTTCTTGTCCTTGATCGTTCGGTACTTAATTCTCCTCTTGGACGGTCTCTGATAACCGTTATCTGATGTGATTAAAGCGAATTTCTCTTCTTCATGTCGCCGCAGCCGAAATCCTTTTTTTTTTTGTCTGCTGTTCTAAGCCAGTCAACGTGGCTCGATGAGGAATATCGTATGTTTATTCTTTTCTTCTTTTTTATTAACTTACCGTTATTAAAAAAGAACTCGTCTCGTGTTACTTGAGCAATGTTTGAGGTTTATACAATTTATAAGATTAACAGCACTTGGAATCTACCAAATCTAGACTAGACCTTTCCAATTGCAGGTCTCGGTTCATTTTATAATTTTTGAGGTGCGACCTTTCATTGTCAGTTGTATCAGCGGGATTTTGTTTCAATTTCCCTAATCGAGTTCCTAAACAATTCTGTCTGCCTAAATTACCCTTTTAATATTTTTGATTAATCGGATCCAAACACTATTCAATTTATACCTACGAATACAAGTTGACATTTAAAGCAAGGCATGGTATTCATTTTCTATCTTCACAGTAGCCATGTGCAAAATTTAACACAGGTCGCCGTAAACGAGTTCAACAAAGTTCAACGATAAAGTTCAACATATTTCAACGTTTGTCATAAACAAAGATGGCGACCCCAGGCTCCCCCAAAGCTCTCTCTCGTCCTCCAACGATAAGCCACGATTCAAACCTTGACGCTCTTCTCAAGACAAAACTTCGGTAAGTCATTTACGAATGATTTTTGAGTAGAACTGTTTTCAACAGCGTTTTGCATGGTTTAGGATGAAATTTTACTTCCATTCTCTACGGTTCATAAGGTGCTAGTACAATGCATATTATCTCCCTGCATATAGTACAGTGCATATAATAATCTTTCCCTGAAATTGTTCATGAGAATAACGAGCCTTTCGGTTGATTGCCGTTCATTTGGAATTATTTTTAATAAATGAGGATGTTGTGAATGGCATAACTTTTTTGAGTAAACTACAGCGTGAATATGCAAGCTTTATCATGGGCAAACTTGATGTGTGTCCCCATATCAGCCCAAAAATGTTGCATGTGTGTAAAACTTTAAACTCATTTTCACGAGCTACAGATGTGGTTTGAAAGTCGAGCAGCCTCGATTACAGCTCGTGATGACGAGATTCAATATTTAATTACAAAATACGTCTTTAGTTGAAAGAAAAAACTCAATGTTGTTTATTATCCGAACCTAATTTTTACTGAGGGAGCTCACTTTCAGGGAGGCCCAACTTACGCGAAGTTTTACATTAATGAACAATGATCTTCATTAATAGTCGAGTCGTCGCTCTCACACGTAATAACATTAATTCTTCTCAACACTTCCTTTTCAAATCCATTTCACTAAAAAACATCTATTTTGACCGCTAACTCTTAATATTCAATGTAACGGAGCTCTATGCAATCGTCAGTTATGGAAAGGTCGGGTTCCAAAGGCCGAATCCCTTGTGAATCAAGCCACGAAAAATTCAAGGATCGGTGACAGGCCATGGGCCTATTTCTTCAGTGCCGACACTTCTATTCTATATTGTCTATGTTCTTGTCAGGCTGTAGGTGGAGGTCAAGGCGATAACACTTCATTTTCAAATCAATTTCAGTAAAAACATATATTTCGACCGCTAACTCGAAATATTCAATGTAATGGAGCGCTATATTAATAAGATGGTCTTGTCAGGCTGGAGGCGGAGGTCGAGGCGATACGAGAGGCCCCCGCGGCGGCGCTGCCGGAGGGCGATCGCCTAGCGCTGGCGCAGGCGTCGGTGGAGGCTGACGCTCATGACCTACACAGAACCCTGGCGTACTTCAAGCAACAGGCAGGGAGTGTTTCGTGCAGTCCATAAGCATGAATTTGGTTATCTAGGTTATCCTGTAACCTCTGGCAGACCGGAAGCCTGATGGAAAAACTTCTAGCCTTAACTTACAATTTATCTCACGCATCCTCCCGATGGAGTTAACTTCTAACTTCTAGACATTATTTAATCTGAAAATCCTTAATTAAGGTACGTGGCAGGTAAACGCATTATATTGTAGTCCCAGGTTGACCCGACAATGCATTGGTTAGAAAATCCATGAGATCTGGGAATTCCGATATTCAGAATGCTGTACGTAATTTCCAAATTCAGGGCCCATACCTTCAAAAAAACGCCAACGACCTCCCCAGAACACTGGCGTAATTCAAGCAACAGGCAGGGAGTGTTCCGTGCAATCTAAAAGCATGCATTTGGTGTACTAATGTAATAGTTTCATGTAATGCTGCTTTGTACATAGGGAAGCGCTTCAAATGATCCATTTGTTGCGATTTTATTAGGATTGAGTTGAATATTTTCTAGGCTTTGTCTTCATCTAATCTAGCGTTCAATAATTTTTTCAATCAAAGATTGAGCCTGAAGTTGTTATTCTTTTATTTGCTGCACGTTTTATTGACCGAATTCGGACATGATTGTACAGTTGTACATGTGATGGTTGTACAGTTGTACACGTGATGGTTGTACAGTTGTACACGTGATGGTTGCACAGTTGTACACGTGATGGTTGTACAGTTGTACACGTGATGGTTGTACAGTTGTACACGTGATGGTTGTACAGTTGTACGC